TAATGGCTAAAACTTTTTAGATTGATAAAATGATCCATATAAAGAACATCTAGATCAATGAAAAGCATTTCAAATCCGTGTTTTATCTGAGACTGATATCGGAATATTATCTAACTATTAGCTTGCTGTATTATTTTTACAGTATTTCTGAACATTAATAAAAATTTTATAGTTGTAAAAATGCATTTAAATTGATTTTAAATTAGAAAATCACAGATTGATATGTTCTCCTTACATCATAGCTATAATTACATAGTGTGGATCGTTCTGTCTGTCGTTCTATTTAAAATGAAGAAAACAACGTGACTCTAATATTAGGCTATTTCTTTTCTATTCTAAAGTCGAAGAAAACAAAGAACGAAATGTTGCAGTGTCACCATCATGTTATTTATTTACTCTTTAAGAATGGTACATAGAATAAATAGTTATATTGATTGGATACGTGAATCTTTCCTTTTTTTTTGCAGTTATATCAAAAAATCTTGCATGTCTTACAACAAGCAGTGCCATTTTGGATGCGTTTGTTTCTTTTCATAATGATATGCAGTTTAATTATCATAATAACAGTGTTCAGGACATTATTATCTATGCTAAGAACCAACACATTATCACCAAGGGTGAATCCAACAATGAAGGAATTAAAATACAAGCGTCATGTTTCGAATCGTCAACTTCGTTATCGTTTATATTTTATTGTGATCATCTATCAATTTAGTACTTTCAATGCTGTTTTATATGATAGCATAACGCAATTTTCATACGGTATATTATTAATGTCCTTAATCTCGTTATTACTTGAAAAATTTGCAAAATCTGTAACACAACGGCTACTTTCATGCGAGTTCTTCCTGGATGACATTAATTTTTGTAAAATTTTGATACGATGTAAACACATCTTTACTGTACTAATTATTGTAGGCGCTATGCTATTTGTGATAATAATCTTTATTATATATAAGGTGATTGTTCAAAAATAAAACTTTCTTTCATGGTAATACAGCAGCTAATTATAGTTTTTAAGGAAACAAAAAACATTACTATAATTTCGCAGTATCAATGATCGACATGTTTAAGAATATAAATTGACTATGAGAAATTTTGAATGACTAATACTAATTTGATGTTCTTATTAAAATCAAATCATTATTATTAGAAGTATGCAGTATATATGCCTATATAAATGATTAAGTTCTCATCGGTTTTGATTGAGATGAGAGCTTTGCAACATTATGGACAATTTAGAGAAGATAAAATTAAATGTAATTTTAAGAAATAAACTAATGTTTTTTTTTATAACGTTCTATTTTATCATTGTCCGTCTGATTGAATGAACATATCAATTTATTATTTAACCCATTGGAGACGGGAAGCCTATATATAGGCAATAGTCCTGAATCAACCTGTATATTACTTTTGTATGCTTCCTATTGGATTATTATGACCTGACTGCTACCACAGATTACGAATCTAGTGATTTTAACTTTTACATTGTATATAGACATAAATCAAGTCAAATTATTCAACTTAGTGACTTTAGGGTACAACTCATTCATCAGATTATTGAAACGTATATATATTCAAAAGCACCCAGAGGTCGAACTAGTGTTGGGAATAATCCTCTTAGACTTATCGGTCGCCATTTTCCTTCACTGATACCTGTGCCATCTACAAATCAAAGTCCTCAAAAGCGGTGCGTAGTCTGCGCAAATACAACAGAAAGACCCACAAAAAGTACTAAAACCATATATGAATGCACTGACTGCAATGTTAGATCTTGTATTTCAGGTTGTCTTCGAGATTTTCATATTCTAAAATACTTTTAGACATTTGTTTTTTTGAATTGTCTAAATAAATTTAAATAAAGTTACCGGTCAGCCTTTCAAAAAAATGATTTTTACAATGAAAAGTAACCCCGTCCTCAAAGGGTTAACCTCGGTCTATTTTATAGAAAAAGAGAAGAGGTAATGATGAACATAACCGACCGTCAATAAGCATGTTTATCATGTATATATATATATGTTTTTTCTGCTCTTAATGGCATTGATCATTCAAAGAAAGAGACGTCGTTGTCAAGAACATCTTATACAGATATAATTCTTTCGTTTATTTTCACTCGATAGATTTTATCAATGTTATTGACAAATGAAACATTCGTATCATTGCATGTTCAATTGTTGTCAACTGAAGATAAACAAATGTCTTGTATTATTAATATGCAATTGTGGTTAACCATTCATTCAATTATTATATTGTTAATTCAACTGTTTTTCATTCTTGTTTATATCGTTTTGTTGTCTTACTGTTTATTTTTTTTCTTCTTCTCTGCTACCTTTCGCAATTTTGTTCACGTTATTAAGGAAATTATTGAATTGTGGTCATATCAAGAAGAACAAAAATATTGGTACGGAATTATTTTACTGATCAAACAAATGGCATTGATATTCGTTTATATTCTATTCGCCTTTTTATTTAAATGGCTTGGATTAATCAATAACGATTATCCTATAACTTATATGAATTTTTATCGTTGGTTAATCGAAGCATCATTGATACCATGTTTTCTTTGTGGTTCTTTGTGTACGTATTATATTGACTATGTCGATGAATTTTTGGATAAATATGAAGTATTTTATATCATCGAAATCATACTAAAAATTCCATTATTCATCTTGATGCGTTATGGCGAAAATCAACCTGACTTTTTTCTTAATAATATTGAAGCTTCTTTTGTCAGTAAATTATGTACATTACGTTCAGAATAAAATATTTATTAGAAGTTTTTGAAATACAATAACTTTGTCATTTGTCATTTTTTGCATCGATCCCTAGAACTAGCTAAAATGCATTTCACATAAGGATAATTCTAAAGTATCAAAGATCGAAATAAGAAATGGCGAATACTCAGAAGGCATAAAAATATCGAACGATGAAAACATCGAGTAGTTCTAACATCGAAAGTAATGTCAAATGTTCGTATACAACAGTTTAGATGATTTGTATGTAAATAAGTTTCGTAATGTATGATAAACAAATTTGTTTTTAAATAAATCATACTTAAGTGATATGATAGCCAACAGAAAAATAATAAAAAAGTAAAGTAATAGCTTAACTTCGGTAATCTATAATGAAAATCTTGAATGCTAGTATATACGTGAGCACAACTTCTATTTGTTATTTTGACTCCGAAAAAAATTCATAGAAAGTAATAGAGTGCCACTTTTCGATTCCTTCATTTTCAAGAAAAAAAATAATGCTACTTATTAATAGGTTAATTCATCAATCTGTATAGAGAACAAAACATTGAGCAAACAAAGATAAAATGTAGAACATTATTACTTCAAACTCTCCTTTAGAACATATAGGTAGCTGGAAAAAAATCATGCAGATATTGTTGAAAATCTCTTTGATAACAGTAAAGGAAACATTAATCCCCTTTTAAAAAATATTATTTACTAATCAATGAGATAATGAAGTGTTTACAGATTATTTGAACGTTTCGCTATTATTAAAAGATATTGGTAATTTTGTTAAGTCAACAGAATGATGAAGGGGTGTGGGTGTGGGTTTCGGTGACTCTCTTGTTAATACTGACACCAAAGTACCCACACACTCACACTACCCAAACACTGACAGCCGTGGCCACACCCACCCATACCTACGACACTTAGCACAATATAGACATCAGGCCAGAGGGAAGTTAGAAACAAACAACTGGCTGCAAAACTTCGAACACGTTTCTCTTTCAGAGCGCGTTGACTGCTGCTAGTCTGGTGATCATCAGAACAGACGCAGACATAAAACTACTTCGAACTCATTTTTGCGTGAAATGAAAGAATAATTGACTCATCGCTCACTTTTTATATTCTCTCTCTTGACTGCTTTCTATCTGTAAAAACAAACTCCAAATCTCTCTCCCTACCGAATATCTTCTTTCCACGATTCTCTCTGCGCGAAAGATTCTCTCTCCGAATCTCTCTGCCGATTTCGCCCTCTGAAATTTCTTCATTTCATATCTCCCTCTGAGATCTCTTCGTTTCATTTATTTTACTCTCTATATAAGATATTATCTCCTTGTATACCTTCTCATGGAAAATATCGTTTCGCCCACTGAATTTTACCGAACAACCTAACCATTTTTTCGTTTTACCACCTCCATCTCTCGTTTTAACCTTCTGCAATACCGATCAAAACAAACGTTGAATACATGTGGAACTCAACAACAACACTAAATTAAAGCACACCATACGGATTGAACTGGCTTCCTTCTCACACGGCTATTTCATTTTCTCAACCAGCATTTACAACCTATATGTTTAGAATAATTATTTCGATCCAATTCCAGAACTCCACGATTGCTAAGGAAAGAATACCATATTCCCTCCCAACTTTTAAAACCTTTCGAAGCAAACCTACTTAGCAATTCGGCTCGATAGGTCTGAAGCTCTCCATCCACAATTTTTCCGGTGTAAAATTCGTAAGAGTTCCGATTAGAGATACCCGAGATCGTATCGAGCATACTATGCCGACCACTGGTTTCCCTATAGACTTTTGAAAGTGTTGTCCCTGAGATTTTTCAAGCACAGCATATTTTCCTTCATAATTTATGATTGTTTTGCAGCTCTCTGAAAGCTCTATCTGTACAGAAAAAAATGACACTCTTATCATCGATTGTGGTTGGGATCAGATTAGTGTGACCATACTATTCCTGGCAGAAGTCTACCATAACCAGGCCTGAAGTACACCTGGTCGGATATGCTCAAAAGTGGTGGCAGTAAATACTCTGGATGAGTCGAGAAAAGTCAATACTCATAGTAGAAAGTGTGGAGATGAGGATGGAAAAGTTTTTCGAAGTGGTTTTTGTTTAGGGTCATTTTGTGTGCAAAGCGTCCCCCGTCCTTTGATAAAGATGAAATAGCATTGTCAGATAATGTAGCCACAGCATCAGCTACAATAGCATCTGTTATGTCACGACTTTATTTGGCTGCATTGCTCATACTTGTTCATGCTGTTGCTACTTGTCCAGTTGAATGATTTGGTTCATGATTATGAACACCAACTGTTTGAGTAACCTGATTATGAATTGTATGAAGTCGGCCGCGACATTGACCGTGACGATAATTATGGCAACACCATATCACCTTGTCACCTGATTCTTTACTTACAATATAAAGATAACCTTGATATTCAAATATTGGTTTTCCTTTACAAGTTTTCATCATATAATAAGAAAATATTTCTCATCGTAAAAAAAACACTGATATGAATTGTTTAGAAAAAATGTTGTGGCATAAATCAAAACACTAATGACAAGAGTAAATTTATAAAATTATATGCTAGAAAAATATATTACACTAATCAATCTTGTTTTCCATATTACATATACAACCTGTATCTCGAGTTATTTATAATTCACTTCTCATATACACAATAGTGACCAAATGAAAAAATTGCGTAGAAATTTTGTCTTGTTAAAATTTAATACATTTTTAATTGGATTATCTCTCCTGTTACACACGTAATTAATTGGTTTAAGTGTAAAAAGAGGAGAAAAGATAAGTAACCTAGAGCAAAATATGAGAAAAAAACTGGAGAACAATTTTTCTGGGTTTCTTTTATTTTTATGACGCCTCTCTTGCTGATTACTGTTATATTGCTATTTTATTTGTTCTGCATCCCTCAGTACACTTTTACTTTTATACCTTTACTATGCCATATTATGATAAGAATTCAGTGATACTGATAATGAACTTCGAATTGAATAAACGAAATTCATCTATTGATACTAAGTATGAGGATATAGGTAAGATCTTCTTTTCAGCTACATCTACACCACATACTCGGTTCATTGGAGATAATCTGAACCAATGAAGCATGCATAAAAGAGTGAGTTTATATTCTTTATTTCTTTTAATATTGTCTTTTAAAAGTCTTAAAAAAAACGACAGATTATATTATTAACAGTGTTTCTAATGGATGTATTATTATTTTTTTTTGTATTGTACCTGATAAAGACGATTATTACCATCTTCCGAAAATAAAAGACTACCATCTTTTAGAACAAGTAAACCAACTGGTCGTCCAAATGTATCGGGTCCAGATGGATTAGTGAGAAATCCACGAACAAAATCTTCATAGTAGCCCATTGGCCGGTTAGTCTTACTATTAAATGGAATAAAGATAACTTTATAGCCAGTTCCGCTATTTCTATTCCATGAACCATGAAATGCTGCAAAAGCACCATTTCGATATCGACTAGGAAATTGTTTGCCTGTATAAAATCTCATATCAAGTACTGCTGAATGAGCTTGAAAAAGAACATCAGGTGTTCGAGTTAGTGATACTAGATCAGGTCGTTCACTTGTTCCGTTACTTAAACATCGTCTTGGATCAGTTAATTTTGAACTCATATAAGCAAAAGGCCATCCATAAAAATCATTCTGTTTAATACGTGAAAAAAAATCAGGAACAAGATCATCACCCAGTTTATCTCTTTCTTGACATGTTGCATATAGATCATTAGTAATGGGATGAAATGCTAAACCAACAACATTTCGCAGACCATAAGCAAATGTTTTTCTATTATGACCATTGATATCAGCTTGTTGAATAGAAGCTCGTGGTAATGGTTCAACATTAACATTAGATGCTGAACCAATGCTAACAAAGATTCGATTGAGAGTAGGTGATATAGCGATAGTTCGTGTTGAATGACCATTTTGAGGATAAGTCATTATTATTTGACCTGTACCTCTAATTCGTCGACTTCCTTTAGTCCAAGAGTAACGTCGAACAGCATCCCGATTACCAACATAAAAATGTCCATTGAAAAATGCCATACCAAATGGATAATTGAGTCCATTAGATGCATCAGCAAATGTTAAACGTTGATCTGGATAACCATCTTGATTTTTATCTACTAGACAAGAAATTCGATTAGCACTCGATTCACTCACAAGGATATCATCTGTAGGTGTATAAATAAGATAGCGTGGTGTTGTGAGTTCACTCATATATAATTTCACAGTGAATCCATCAGGAACGTAGAGACGAGGATTTGAAGGTACCGGAAAGACTCGAGCTCCTTTAGAAGCTGATGATGTAGCATAGGGTCGTGGTAGATCTGCAACTGTTACGCGAATAGGCCGTGGAACAAAAGTAACATTTGTACAATTTGTTAAATCAATTAGAAGTAAAATCAAATATGGAAATAAAGATAATAGGAATAATGAAAACATATTGTGAAATTTGTAGATCTATCGTCGTCGTAGCTATTCGTTATGTAATCAACTTTATCAAGTATCACTTAGATACCAAATCATCAATACAATAAATGTCAATACATTATTATGTTTCAAATGTTACTTATCGTAATACCATGTGCGCCATCGTATTTTTTTCTTTCTATTGCCTCTGTCGCCCAATGTGTGCTTCAGGCAATTTAGATGAGTGAATATTTGAATGTGTATTGCTAAATGATGTTGTGAATAGGCTTCGATTGCTCGGTTACACAAGTGAATGAGTACAAAAGTAGATTGCGCATATTCATATATTTGTATGTTTTTCGTCTTGCTGTAATAAAAACAAAAAAAAAATACATCGTTTTCTTTTTTAAAATAGCATACTGATGAATATTAGATGTATATTTTTGATAGACAATCTTCAATGATCATAATTTATCAAGAACCGATCATCTGATTAATTATATAACAAAAAAAGAAAAACTTTGAAAATCAATGTTGAACAAGAGCCGACTCAGCTATGATAGATTGTTTCACAGTCGTGGATGTTCGAAAATAACAAAATATAAATAAGACAAGAGAGCGGATTAAATAATGCTGCATATTTTCTCGTCATTTTGCTTCAGTTCTTTATTGTTATTTAAGGAAAACTGCAACTATTGATCAATATTTTTCGAAAGTAGACTTTGATAATATTTATTTCAGCAACGATAATTTCAGTCGAAATCTGAACATTATTGGAAGAAATGATTATAGTTAATGGAGAATATTTTTATTCTTTTATTCTGTCTAGTCAATCGTTTGTGTTAATTTATTTTGTTCGGATGAGAACTATTCATTCAAGGCGAACTATATTGCTGTCTAACTCGTCTGATTAACGGTCTGGCAGCATGATTCAAGTTGAACAGTGGAACTCTCGCCAAAAAGAATGGTCGATTTTGATAATTTAAAGAATTTCTACAGGTTGTAAAATGCTTTCTGTTGATTTGTTCCATTTGCATGTGTTTATAAAAATATTTTTTGTTGAATTTTGATACAATTTTTTTGACAGAGAAACTGTATATAAATGAGTATATGATTATTTTCGGTGTACACTCATGATTCCTAAAGAAGATCTTTAGAAATATAAGTCAGATTTGATTTATTTTTCTATCTCCACAGTTTATTTTTGTTTTCTAAATTTATGATAGTTCAGCAAAATAGTATTTTAACTTAGGTAAAAGTTTTTGTTTATAATGAAGATTGTGGTTTCATAGTTTAATTTTCATTTCTAAGGTTAGTATATTCAAGAAAAAAATTATTTTAATGTTAGCAGGTATTTTATTCATTATAAAAACTCAGATTTCGAATCACAGCGTCAAAGTTTGTGTTTCATGTCTAACGTTAGGATTGTTCAGTTAATTTCATCGAAAAGTTGGTAATCATATAATTTTTTTGTGTTCAAGTCTCAATTTATAATTCTGCAGTTTGTCTTTTCATCAAGATCATGCAATTACATAGTATTTAGATAATGTGATCATGAATCTAATGAAAATAAATAATGATTTAACTTACATTAATTGAACAGAAGATGAATTAATGAAATTGTTTCATTATAAGACTTACCATTTTACAAGCAAATAATATAGATACTTTCATCGAAAATTCAACATTTAAGTCTATTACTGGTGTTTTTTTTAAATAACAATCGATAATGAAAGCACATTGTATACATCTGTGAAAATGTGCGAGAAACGAGGATAATACTAATAAAAGAATATTAAACATTTAATAAACGAGGTAAGCGATATTCAAAAAAGTGTACCCGATCATAGAACTATCATTTATTTTGATAATATTACTTAATTTCATATTACAAAAAATAATTTTATCAGTTTTCTTATTTGCAAGTTACTATTTTAAAAGAATCACTGACTAGAATGTAATTTTTGTCATTTGTGTATACACTGTCATATTAAAAATCTATCATCACATTATAGATCTTGACACTGACCACTATAATTATCGTTTGAAATACTCCGTAGAATTGTTCTACAAATTCGCTTGTGATGTGTTACTATCTTGGAGCAAAAGAAATATTCACTGATGGTACCTAAAACCGATTATTTCTTTGCCGGTTTGTTTCTATGTAAGATTGAACGATTTGAATATGTTTATTGTCTTGAAAAATATTTTTCTTGTTCGTAAAAATGATTTCCAAGAGATTGTTTTTAAAGTGAACATCACTATTTCTCTACTGAGAACATCTATTATTTTTTGAATGCATGATCTTTGAAATAGATTAAGTAGTTTTCAATGAACAGGATTTATTGTTGTGAATTAAAAATGTTTTATAGCAAATAGCATAGTTTCTACTGTAATTTCAAGCATGATTTGATAGTTTCGATAATTAATAAATCCTTGAATAGTTTTTTCTATTTTAGGGAGAAACATTACATGTCTATTTTATTATAGGATATTTTTAACTGAAAGCAATTCATACGCAAAAGGCTTTTGAATAGCAAATCGACACAAACTAAATTTTATCAATGCCATGATTTTCTCACTGTTTTCCAGCAGAACAAATATGTTTATTACTGTCCTCCTTCCACTGTAGGTTCATCAGAGCAGGGGAACGGAAACGAAAAAACTCTCTAATGGCATTCTATCCCAACTTATCCTTAAAAAAGAATGCTTTTTTTTTGAATATATGTATCAATCCTCCAGAATACATCTCATATGCATATGACTTCATCACCTAGTTAAGTCATATCTATTTTAGTGATTTTATCCGATCTTGCGAATATAGGTTAAGGCACGACATGCTTTTTGTGAGTTTTACTTATCTGCAACCATTAAACTAAATAAACCAAACAATCTAGAGCCAATATGTTTAGAGAAATTATATAACTTAAGAATTGCTTTGAAAGTGCGGAATTAAATGTGAAAACCCCTTCAACGTCGACTAGCGAGATATTGATCAGTCAGGGTGTGGGTATAGTAGAAAATAACATCACTCAGAACAAAGAATTCCAGATTCTGATCCTATCTGAATTTTTGCCTGAATATTATACATTGTTTGACCGTCCCATCCTAATCATCCCTCTTCTCCTACTTCCTTCCTCTCGCACAATTAGCTGCAAATTAACAGCTTAAATCTAGTTTATTTTAATTTATTAGTATATTCAATTGTTGAATAATAAAATCAAAATAAATGTAAAATAAATAATGCATACTTACTGTTGGTTGACTTCGTGCTGTAATATAATCTAAAATAAAAAAACAGCAAATAATTTCTAATTACTATTCGTTGAGTTGCAAAGTTCTCTCTCTCACCGTAAACAGTCATTTCAGAACGTGAATGGTTGATCTGAGTCAGTGAAAAACGACTTCGTGTCGCCATAAAAAGTATTAAAAATATATTTGACATGTTGTCTAATAATGATAAAAAGTAAAGCTAGATATTTTGAGAACAATCAGATTTCATCGGATCCGACTGAGTGAATTTGACCTGGGCAAATTCACCCTCACATCTAATCTGTTCTGGGCAATCCTAGGTCGATTGACTGGAAGCGTGAGTCTCAGAAAAACTCTCATAAGTCTTGCACTAAACAGGCTAGCAATATTGGCCTTATCTAAATCGAAAGAAAAAAGTTTTCCTATCTAGCTATTATATTAATAATCAATTTCAAACGAGAAATAGCTTCACAATATCGTTTTTAAAGTGTCCATCAACATTTAATCTGATTAATCCATTGCTAACCAATCAAATTTTATTCCGTGTTTATGTATCTAGACCTTCTCCTTATACTGATGAAAATTGCAGCTTTCTATCTTGTTCCTATCAAAAGTTATTCAACAAATAGTCAATGGTTTAGTATTGTGGAACGTATATTAGTTTCAAAGATCCTTCGTAAAACCCCTGAACACCTTTGAGAGTTAAAGTTATCTTTATGAATTCATACACTAAACAATTCGGTCAATATGTTTATATATACGTCTCAACAATATATTCTTCTTGACGAAAATCCAGTTTTATAAAATCAGTCCACTTATCCCTTTGGGGGCCGAGGCCGCAAATATACTATTTGAAAATTCTAATAGAAATTGAAAGTCTTTGGGTTTGTTAGAGTAGATTCTACGAATGTTTTGTTTCTTTTTCTCTTTCAAAGTTCTTTATTTGTATCGTTACAGTAAGAGCAAAAAAAGGTTAGTCCTCAAAGAATAAAATAGTAAGTAGTTTGTTTTTAAATTAAAACCTTAAACGAGAAAACTCATTGTTTAATTGGATTTTACAATGGGAGAAATTCGGCGAAAAAGTTTCACCGGTCAGGGAAATTTTTTATTTTACTGACTATTCATCTTCGTTGAATTCAATCAAAGATATGATTGTTTGAAAATTATCAATTCAGTCAATCCAATTTTTTTTCAACGTGCATCAAGTTATAATAGTTGAATTAACATCTTTACTTGATAGAATTATGAGATTTTTATTGAAATGATTCTTTTAAGCAGTTTCATGATGAATTTTAGCGGAAGCTTTAAAACTTGTTGAAAAAATTCATTGCATATAATAGCAGGTTGCCCGAAAAGTTTGTGCAACTGATCCCGTACTACATTCGTGGATTTTTTCACCTACATCATCGTGTAAAGGATGCATTTTTACCGAGATTCTCTCCGACTTGCTTCAATCGCTTCATTCTCTCTCGAAAAAGAAAAGATTTTCACTGTCGTGTCTGAGAATGATTCAGACATATCGAACATCATGTACTCATCAAGTTTTTTATTAGAAAAGAGCTGAATTGTACTGAAGTCACTAAACAATCTGACATGTGCGAAATAATGAAGGAGACTCGCCATGGATATTTGTCGATTTCTCGTCGATCTTGCGATCATTCAAGAACTTTTGAATAAAAAGCTTCATAAGTGCTTGATTTTCGAAATATCTGAATCAGTATCAAACACAGTAGTGAAAATCTTTTCTTCGTCTAGAGAAAATGAAGGAATAGAAGCAGACCGGAGCGATTCACGTTAAAAGGGCACATTCTACACGATGTTATTGATGAAACAATGCACGAACTTTTCGAACAACCTGATATTATATCCAATTGCTAAAATATTTCTTAGTTCCTACATATTGAATTTTTTAGAAATAAAGGGCTTCCTTTTCTATAAATTTATCTATGAGTTCGATTGATAGAGATGTATTTCTAAATATAACTTTCTCTTTGCAGGATGATCTAACTAATTTAAGACGCTTCTCTTTAACATGTTATAATAGCACTCTAGACTGTGACAATCGAATTAGACTTCTTCTTCGTGGAATATCATACTGTCGAAGAATTAATTTTGTATTTTCGCATCTTTGCTCTGCCTAGATGCATCGATGATATTCATCTTCATAATGAACTTCTTGTTCTTATACCATATCTTCATACATTCAATTTTTATATTACTACTGAAAATGTCATTGCTAATCCAACTTGTCGTTTGTCTAATGATGATATTCAATGAAATTTCACAAACACAGAACATCAACAACTGACTTACATTATAGATTATTTCAGCCATTCTAAAGTGATATGTCATAAAGCTGGATTCGAAAATGAATTTTTCATTCGAATTGCAGTTTTTTTCCGTTGTGTATAATATTTAACTATTATTTACAATATCCGATCACCATACTGAAGACTTTATGAACATTCACCTGTTGATAATAATTCATATCTAATCATTGAATATATTCATCTTATTTCACTTGATGTCAGTGTTGCAAACATTTTATTATTGTGACCAATTTCTCGATGAAATCAAAACATATCTACTTCGTTTATTTGAATTAAAAGTTCTGTATGATTTTTTGACAGATATAATAGAAAACTTTACAAGAGATGTAATGCGACGCAATTGTGCTGATATGAAACGATTAATTGTTGACAATTCAAGAGTTTATTCGGAAGATATTTATCATTATTTACCTTCATTGTAAATTCAATTTTTTTCTAACATTCGGTTACGTAAATTTCAAGTTTTTACTTTGTGAAAAAAGTGTGTGGTATGAGATATGAATTGCTAATGATCGGCAATCAGATTTTGTAATAAATAATATTATTTAGTCCAATGGTATTTGAAATAATAAAATATCAACAGAAAGATATAGTATGCTCTGTTCTGTGAATTTGGTTAGATAGCGAACATTGACAATTGTCAGAATTTTGTCTAACTAAATCGGCTTTTCAGATGAAAGAAATTAGTTTGGCTTTGCTAAAAGTTTAACCTGATGCATCAAGAGTATAAGAAGATGATAGATTACTTGTTAACGTTCTTTTGAGAAGATCTTTCAAATACTAATACTTTAGTGATCGATCTGCATGGAACGTATTCGTGCAATATCTTGGGTGACTCTCACGTATTGAAGATAATTTTAATAATTTTCAAAGCCAGATGAATATCAACATGGCGATTATGAGTAAAATGAGATGATGAACTAATACGACTCGCATCGTTATTCTTTAAAAAAACGGAAATATCGATATGTTTGAACAATAGACAAATTTTAAAGATTATCTGTTCAATTATTAACATGGAGAAAAATATTTGAAAAAGAACAAATGCATGTGAATTAATCATTTGAATCGAAAGATTAAATATTAATACAGGATGATCGCTGTTAGAAAGGTTGTTAACTATTTTTATGTGTAATTGAGGTAACGTGTTGTATTCATACATGGCAAAGCAAGACGTAGATAGATAAAAATAACTATCGCAGTGGTAATGAAGCAACATGTCCCCAATAGCCCACGTTCAAGTCAAGATATCAACTTGTTGTTACAAAATTATGATCAAACAATCTTTTCTAATCGATAAAAATTATGAGACTCATGAATAAATTCTAATCAGCAATTGATTTGAAATGAACATTTTTAAAAAGCGCTATTTATTGATTTTAACAACAAAAAATAAAAATTCATTCCCAGAAAAAAAAGATAGAAGACAGATCAAATACAAGCTGAAAACAAAAGCGTTAAATTCTAATACATATATATATATGTATAGATTTTATGGCATTTTTTAATCAAACATCATTTTATGCATGATAATCTCCTGATGATCGAGAAGTCATATGTTGTAATTCATCATGTATTGATGAAATAATATTTTTTGTATTTAAGACACTTTTTTTTGCTGTTATATATTCATCTCGATAATCATTTCTTCTCAATGGATCATTGTTTGTTTCAGATTCCACCCCAGTATTACGTGTTGGTACTCGATATCCATGTTGATCTTTTGATATTCTATCAATATAAGCAGGATCATCATTAAATTTTTGGTGTCGTCGATCGATTTGTCCATTATTATGACGCATCATTGCTTCACGATCGGTTTCAATACGAGTTTTAGCTAAACGTTTTGGTATTGCATATGCATCTGTTGCTGTTGCTGCACGATCAGGTATCATAGAATCATCAAAAAATAACGGAGGATTTGAACGTGATGAATATTGATTATTTTGTTGATCATCCATGATATATTTTGGTTTTAATTCAACAGGTGTTAATCGTGCTATATCATGTGCACGATCACCTGCTTCATAAGGATTATAATGAAGACGAATAATTGATGGATCTGGACGTTCAGATAGTTGAGGTATAACAGGTATATGAGGAACTTGTTGGTTTCTATCATACAAAGGTAACATTTTATGATCATCAGATGTTGAATGAATACGACGTCGTTGACGACGACGGTTTTGACGTTCACTTTCAGAATCTGGATTATAAGATTGTTCACTTTCAGCTTTATCGAGAACTTCATCTAATAAACGATGTAATTTTGGACGTTCAGCTTCAGTTTTAGTTGTTTGTGGCATACGACGAGGTGAATGAATAGAAACAATATCATCTGCTGGTTGGATATTAATTCTTGGAATATCATGTTCAAAAGCTTGATTATCATATTGACTTGAACTTGAACGATTAGTATCTATGACAAAAAAAAATATAGCAAGAAGTAGAATAGACAATTCATAATTGCGACTATTGTGGTTTTTTGATCAATTATTAGCTTCCAGTAAATACTTTATATTAAATAGGAATAGTTATTCGCATCTTATTAAAATCTCTAATGATGTAATTAAGCACCGAGTCGAACAAACCGTATTTTTCTATGAGTCAATCATTTTTCTTGGCCGAAAGAAAACTTCGTACAAATTCATTTGCAATATGTGATGGTGGTGGTAATGCTTGTAATACAACGACATGTCTTAGTCGTCTAGGTTTTAAACTAAAACTTCTAACAAAAATTAGTACTGATTTAAATGGTGAAAGAATTCTTAAACCATTTTAAAAAAGCGAATAAAAAAACTCGAACATATTTATACAGTGCAAATAATGAATAAATACTTATTAATGATATTAATCCAAATTGGCTAGATAATATAAATTTTATTCATTTTGATAGTCGTTCAATAGAAGATGCTCTTCAATTAGGAAAATTAACGAAAGATAAATCTATTTTATGTACATTATTTAGATCGTGAACGTGACAGATCTTTTCTAAATCAATTAATTCCTTTAATGAATTATATAATTAGAACACAAAAATTATTCATGAAATGTTTGTAAAGATTTATCATCAATACAAATAGCTATATATTTTCTTCAAACACTGCATGACCTATTCAATCGGAAAATATTATTGATACAACTGGTAGTGAAGATATACATTTATTGGTGGAATTATTTATGAACTTTTAACCAAAGAATTCTGGTCTAGAGATCAATTACTTCGTTTTGCATATTATATAGCTATGTTAAAATTAAATGGTATTGAAGCACATTATTCATTATCTTATCTTTCTGATATTGATATGAATTTGTTCAGTTAATAAATACTTACTTGGTACAGATGAATCTTGAAATTTAACAGGAGATTGCTAAAGAAAATATAGAATTTTTGTTTTTAATTTTTATTTAATAAAGAGTTTTAAGTGAAATTTACTTGAAATTTTTCTTGTAAACGAAGTTTATTTCTCCAACGTTCAACATCATTTTGACGACGTATTTCATCCAATGGTATATCAACTGAAATTCGATGACGATGTGTATGTGTTGAACTTTTTTCAGATTCACTAGGTGTTAATGGTCGAGATGATGTACTAGCACCAACTAATGGATCATTTTGAGTTAATGCATGAATAGTCTGTTCAGATGTTGGTTTTTCTGTTATTGATTCATTTGACATAGGTTTATAATTCTATTTAAAGAAAAAATAAAACAAAAAATGCTGGTTTATTGTGAGAATAAATGCGAAAACCTCGGACTTAAGTCCGAGAGTTATGTGTACTTCAAAAAGTGAATGAGACAAATCAGTCATCCTAGAATGTGTGGATATACAAATTAGCTTGGCAAACCTTTTCTATAAACACTTAAATTCTATTGACTACTGCTCAACCAATAGGATTTGGGGGCGAATACAACTCAGACTTGAACTCTTCGCCTTAATTTACTCTC